GGGAAAGGGTGCTGTCCCTCCACCTGCTCCCCCTTGGCAGCTTGGTGGCTGCCATCTGCCAGAGGCATTGGACAGTCAGGTTTGGGCCCACAGCGACGAGACACACAGGACCTCACGGGATGGGTCTGGAGAAGGCCCTTTCCTCCCCATCTCAACGAGACCCCAGTTCGCATCCACGAACGGCCTCTCTGGCTCCTGATCAAGCTGCTTAACGGCCATGATCCCAGAAACTCAGAAACAAATATTGAAACCCAGTGGCTTTTGACAGAGATGTGTCTGGACCCCACAGTAGGTTACTGTCACCAGGCAATTCCAGGGGGGAAAAGGGTGCTATCCCTCCACCTGCTCCCCCTAGGCAGCTCAGTGGCTGCCATCCTCCAGAGGCCATTGGATAGTCAGGTTTGGGCCTTCAGTGATGAGACATGTGGGGCCTCACAGGATTGGGATGGAGCTGGCCTTTTCCTCCCCATCCCAACAAGACTCCGAGTCGCCACCCACTAACGGGCTCTCTGACTCCTGATCAAGCTGCTTAATGGCCATGATCCAAGAGACTCAGGAAGAAATCTCGAAACCCAGCAGGTTATGGCAGAAGTTCCTCCAGATTTAAATGTTAAAATTTTGGAATTTCTAATTAAAAATTACTTTTGAGAAGGCCTGAGCAATAGTGTAGCAATCAGGGCATTTGCCTTGCATACGCTGACCAGGGGTTTGATCTCTGGCATACCATAAGGTCCCCTGAGCCCTGCCAGGAGTGATCCTATGCAGATCCAGGACTAACCCCTGAGTACCCATCAATATGCACAAAAAATGACCAAAAAAATTACTTCTGTATATTTGTGGGCGGCATACCCAGTGGTTCTCAGAGGTTTGGGGGACCGATGGCACTTGGGGGAACCATGCAGTGCCTGGCATACAACCCAGGAATCCTTCTTGCAAAGCTTACACTGCACCTTGCTGAGCTCTCCCTTTGGCTCCTCAATTAAAAATTTATAGGTGTGGGTGGGGGGTGTTGGGAGAGAACCTAGGGACACTGGTACTGGGAAATGTACACCGGTGGAGGGTTGGGTGTTAGAACACTGTATGACTGAAATCCAATCATGAACAGCTTTGTGTCTATCTCACAGTGATTCAATTTTTTAAAAAAAAGTTAAAAAAGAGAAAAGAGGGGTATGGTGCTGCCAGCAGGTCAATCTGTACCTGTGAGGCGAGTGCATCAGCAGCCTCATGGCGCCTTCAGACTTCCAGATACCCCAAAATTGCTGCTGTGCCTTTGACCAGACCCCAAAAACTTGGGGCAAAGTTTACCAAGAAAGTAAATGGCCAAAAGTTAGGTATGTGGGAAACACACCCACAAACCACCTCCGGCTCAGCTATATAATAGGAGGCAAGGCCTCTTTGGTTCCTGATTGAACTGCTTAATGGACATGATCCCAGAGACTCAGAAACGAATCTCAGAACCCAGTGGCTTTAGGTAGAAATGCGTCTGGTCTCTGCAGTAGGCTACCGGTGCTGGGCCAACCCAGGTGGGAATAGGTTTCGTGCCTTGGCCTACTCCCCCTGGCGGCCCAGTGGCCGCCATCCGTCTGAGGCCACTGGATAGTCACATTTGGGCCCCCAGTGATGAGACACACAGGGCCTCACGGGATGAGGGTGGAGCCGGGCTTGTCCTCCCCACCCCAACGAGACCCCAAGTCATCGCCCATGAACAGCCTCTCTGGCTCCTCATCAAGCTGCTTAACGGCCATGATCCCAGAGACTCAGAAACAAATCTCAAAACCCAGTGGCGTTTGGCAGAAATGCATCTGGACTCCACAGTACGTTACTGTCGCCTGGCCACCCCAGGGAGGAAAGGGTGTTGTCCCTCCGCCTGCTCCCTCTTGGCGACTTGGTGGCTGTCATCCTCCAGAGGCCATTGGACAGTCAGGCTTGGGCCCACAGTGATGAAACTTGTTGGGTTTCACGGGATGGGGGGGGGGCAGGTGGAGCCGGGCCTGTCCTCCCCACCCTAATGAGACCCCAAGTCATCGCCCACAAACGGCCTATCTGGCTCCTCATCAAGCTGCTCAACGGCCTTGATCCCAGAGACTCAGAAACAAATCTCGAAGCCCAGCAGCTTTTGTCAGAAATGTGTCCGGACCCCGCAGTAGGTTACTGTCACCGGGCCACCCCAGGGGGGAATGGGTGCTGTCCCTCCGCCTGCTCCCTCTTGGCGACTTGGTGGCTGTCATCCTCCAGAGGTCATTGGACAGTCAGGCTTGGGCCCGCAGTGACGAAACTTGTTGGGTCTCACGGGATGGGGGGGGGAGGTGGAACCAGGCCTGTCCTCCCTACAATAACGAGACCCCAAGTCATCGCCCACAAACGGCCTCTCTGGCTCCTCATCAAGCTGCTCAACGGCCTTGATCCCAGAGACTCAGAAACAGATCTTGAAACCCAGTGGCTTTTGTCAGAAATGTGTCCGGACCCCGCAGTAGGTTACTGTCACCAGGCCACCCCAGGGAGGAAAGGGTTCTGTCCCTCCGCCTGCTCCCTCTTGGCGACGTGGTGGCTGTCATCCTCCAGAGGCCATTGGACAGTCAGGCTTGGGCCCGCAGTGACGAAACTTGTTGGGTCTCACGGGATGGGGGGGAGGTAGAGCCGGGCCTGTCTTCCCCACCCCAATGAGACCCCAAGTCATCGCCCACGAATGGCCTCTTTGGCTCCTCATCAAGCTGCTCAACGGCCATGATCCCAGAGACTCAGGAGCAGATCTCTAAACCCAGTGGCTTTTGGCAGAAATCCCTCCAGATTTAAGTGTTAAAATTTCAGAACTTCAAAACTACATGGCCCTACTGCAGCCACACATCATATGTTATTCATAACCAGCAATAGAACACAAATTGTCTATTGTTGCCTTTTCAGCAGATCTGAGTGTTGGGGTAAAATCTTAAATAATGGTGGGTCTGGTGTCGAAATAGTGAATGTGATCAAAGTAGAGAGAGAGTAATGTGGAAATCATCTGCCCCACAGGCAGGGGGAGGGTGTGGGATGGGGGTATACTGGGATTTTTGGTGGTGGAGAATGGGCACTGGTGAAGGCACGGATGTTTCATTGTATGACTGAGACTTAGACCCAAAAGCTTTGTAACTGCTCTCACGGTGATTCAATAAATAAAATTATAAAAAAATGGAAAAAGAAAAAAAAGTAAGGTGGAGTTCATGCACAATTCAATCAGCTAATCAGTGGCTGAATAAATAGCAGTACTCCTACAAAAAAAAAGAGAAAAGAAAAAGACAAACACCAGATGATCTCATTCACATGCACAGTATAAACAAAGCAAGGATTAGACAACCCACATTTATTAGAAATAAATTCTGACACAGGGTAAGTACAACTAGAAACTGAAGGTGCTAATGGCGAGATGGGGGAAACTTCAGGGAAACAGGGTAGAGATCTTGGTACACTGCTGGTGGGCACAGTGTAGCAGCATACAAGTGTAAAATGTCAATATCAGTACTATTGTAAACTATGATGCTGCAATTAAAAAAAAAACTTTAAAAAATTGAGCATCCAGAAGTAGTGCTGTTGAGTTTATGAAATCCCAACTTTCCTATGGGCTGCTGAGCCACAGGTGTCAGACAGGGACTTGTGCCCTCGCGCATGAAACGGGAGGGCTAGAGTAGCTGCTGCTACTAGTAGTCAGGAGCCGGAGTGATAGCATAGTGGGTAGGGTGTTTGCCTTGCATGCAGCCGACCCGAGTTTGATTCCTCCACTCCTCTTGGAAAGCCCGGCAAGCTACAGAGAGTATTCAGCCCACATGGCAAAGCCTGGCAAGCTCCTCATGATGTATTCGATATGCCAAAAAAAAACAGTAACAGGTCTCACAATGGAGACGTTACTGGTGCCTGCTCGAGCAAATCAATGAACAACAGGAGGACAGTACTACAGAACAGTGCTACAGTGCTACCAGTGGTCAGGGAAGCACAAAGCACAGGAATCATTTTCTTAATTTTCAGTGCTCAGAGATGGTTTCCTCAATTTCTAAGTGTTCAAAGATGTGTTATCATTGTGAGTCTCTCTACTATTTTAGTCGAGAAATCCATGATTGAGGCTATGACTAGGACCTGAAGTCATGGGTCATAATACTTGGAGCTTCTTTGAACTCTCACAGAGGACACATAGTCCCACAAGGCATAGGCATGAGGTGGCACTGGCTTCGAGAGATGGTGAATACACATGAAGTCCGTGGCAGGCAAGCAGGTGGGGGAAGCGGAGATAGATATGAAACGGAAAGTTTCAAGGAGGTCATGGTCCCCAAGGTGAGAAAGCAAAGTGTGAACTGAATGTTTGACCTGAAATTCTTACGTTGAAAACCCAAAGTAGGACTGTTTGGAGATGGAGCTTCCAAGGAAGCTATTAAGGTCAAATGAGGCCCTGGTGTGACCTCAGTGATTTTTTTACCATCTCAGTGTTCTTTTAAGGGAACAGCAAAGGCCCCCTCCACCTCCACGCCCCACGTGCACACAGAAAGCCCCCTCTCCACAATCAGTGTTCTTGTAGTCACCTGAACGGACAAAGGCGCCTATGTTTCTTAAGGTTTCTTGGCTCCAGTCTTCACTCCTACCAAGTTACCTGCTTAGTCCACTAACACCCAAGGAGCTCTTTGGAGTGACAAAATCAACGTAGGACCTGTTTAAGTGAGCATGGAACCTAGTGATACCCCAATGGTTAGCTCTTAATGATGGAGCATTCTCAAGCATAGACAATCAAGATGATATGATTGACAAAGACTTCTTCCTAATGTGTCAGTTCAAGCTTTACCCTCACTTGGATATGTATTTCTTATTTCTCTGAATCTCCCTTTGATGGGCAGATTCTTGAGTACCACTCAAACACGGCAGTTCATCTCAATCACTAATTGATCTTTGACTTAAACTCCTCCTATGAGAAGAGAAAATTGTCTAAGAACACGGAGATGGTGCTGTAGGTTGACTGAAGGATAAACAGGAAAAGATTTCTGTGGGATGTATATTTTAATTAGGACACATTATATTGTAAGCATATGGTATTCTTGCTTAATAGAAACATTTACAAGAACACATACACATTGATATCCAAATACCAAATGAAGTAGATACTTTAAATGATCAGTTTGCACCAGAAATAAAATATATTATACAAAACAGGGGTTATATCCACAGTCATGAAGTTTCATTTTCTACACAAACAACAATAAATTAAATCACATTATATGCAGATAGTTCTACTTACATTAGAATAATAAACTGTCTGAAGCTTGGGCAGCTCTTACTTTGACTTTTCTATCAGAATCATGGTAGGTCTGTATTGTTTGATAGTCCTGTTTTTGCATAAACAATGAGTAATACGGTCCAGAAGACAAGGCCGAAGAATTCATTTTCCGTGGTATCTGCAACATGTCCTCTTGGTTTCGATTATTCATCACACACAGGGAGCAGAACTCAGATGCCCTGAACCCAGCAAAAAGGTCTGCAAACCCACAGTTTCTCCAGGCTGTCACAGGTACCTCAGAAGGTCTCTGGTAAGACGTGCCACCTTGGCCATTGTTGAATTTTGATAGTGAGCAAACAGTAGGACACCAATTTCAAAATACAAATTTTTTTCTTTCTCAACTTTCTTTACCTAGTCATTATGTGCTTTGATGCATTTTTTCCCTAACATTCTCCACCTCACGCCCCCCCACCAAAAAAAAGAAATGGTAGCCTATGTTGTAGTTTGTACTTGGTAAATGGGTCCTTTCTTCCTTGTGCATAAACATTTATGTCTTAAATGTTTTGATCTAACATATGAATCAAAACAATGCACCATTTTTGCTCACTCTTAATTCCAGTCATTCATCATCACTCCCCAAAGAAGCATTCCATGCCTGATAACATCAAAGAGGTATTATAACATCGAGACTTTTTACTTCTGGGATTCAATTCCCATTGAGACTTTTCCATTGGGCTTAAAGTAACTTGAAACATGAACATCAACAGCATCAGCCCCTTTAAAATCACTTTGCCTTTTGTATGAATCAACATTAGTGGTTAATGAGAAATTTGAACTAATTTCAATCCAACACCTTTGAAAAATCATTTTAATCCTGGAGTCTAGCTCTGGCATAGGCCTACAAAAGATGTGTATGAGGTCTATATGCAGAAAAATGAAAATCAGGCTTTTGAAGCAAATGCACACCCCAGGCTTGATCTCACCGAAAATATATGTGGTTAAATTAGCACAAGGATTTGGATTAAAAGCCAGCCCCCTTCCGGCCAGCACCATTTGGCCTTCTTTGCCTCTGAGGAACTATGGAGGTCCAAGTCACAAGTTTCTACCTGCCCTCACAAGATGCTGACTCTTTGGAGCCATGACAGATGGGAGATGTGGAGGACGAAGGAATGGTAAAAATGGTGGCAGCTTGCAATGCTACCCACTTCTGTTTCTTTTGGGGATCAAGTTCCTGATTCTTTTTACTAGTTGCATGCCAACTTTTTTGTTGTTGTTGTTGAATCTGGCTGTTAACCAGAGATGAAACTGTTGATCATCCTGTCATTCTAAAGATCGAGTAGAAAAGAAACATTAGGCCTTAAATCCTTTCCAGAGAGTTAGTTCCTTTCTTTTTTCTATCGAAGAAATTCAGCTCATTATCCACTTCCTCATATAGTATAATTAAATAAAGCCCATGAAACATTGATCAAGGGACCTAACTTTAGTGGCACTTGACTTTCTGGCTGCAACCAGTTAGGAGCTGAGTTCTTTGTGCCCTGACAAACATAGGCATGTGTTCCTTTCAACTTGGAAAGACTCCCTTAATATCTATCAGTGTTATTCTATTTGAACTACACTTTCACAAATGTGGTTTGTAGAGACTTTTGTAGTTTGTAGAGGCTTTCACAAATAAACATTGTGGACTCTCGCACAAGAAGGTGGTGATACCTCTGGGACCTATACTCAGAATTCCTGTCACTCAATGTGAGGTTAAACAGTGGCCCTAGTATCACTGAAGGGCACATCTTACACTGCCCCCACTCAGCAGCACACAGAAAAAAGTGGTAATGTAGGGGCAAAGAGGACACACACACCTGGAATAAACTCATGATTTTTGACGCCTCAGAGGAGGGAGAAGTGTATGAACATCCCAAAACAAAAGTCTTTAGACTGAAGGGAAAGCAAAGAGGGAAGCTTTCTCCTGCCCTGTGTTTCTCCACTCCCTCCATGAAATATGGCTTCTGAAATGTAAAGAACTATTTTATTGCCTGTGGACTGTGTCTGTCATTCAGGAAAAGACAAGCTGATGGTTCTTCCAAGAAATATTAATGTTTACAGGGGTTCCCTTGTGGAAATGTGGTCAGTCTGGAGTAAGATAGGCACTCTATACCGAAAGTTATTTCTGGGTAGCAGTGGTTAACTAGAGAAAGCTTTAATTTTTGAGTCTGGGGGGAAAAAATTTAAGAAGGTGACAATGATGACCATAAAAAAAGTATACTTGTTTCTAATAACATCAGTGTGTGTGCGAGTGTGTGTGTGTGTGTGTGCATGTGTGTGTATACACGTATATATTTTTATGGCATATGCTCATTTGACCTATATAAATGTTATTTTATATTTGGCCAGATAAGAAAATACCGATAAAGCCTACCATTTTGAAATCTGAGCACCCTGAGTTTCAGGGCAAAAGCTTATAGAATTATTTAAGAACTAAGGTTCTATTTATTTTACTATATTATATATGAATGACGGGTTGTAAATATGTTGGTTAGCAGTTAGGAACTTAAATCCCAAGGCATAATCTCCATCATTCTTACCTCGGTGGTAACCTTGGACCAAACACCTATGCTTTTATTAAAGGTTTCCAACTTAAGGAGTTTTGAAAACTTTTAACAGAGTTTTTGTATCTCGTGTGACAGTTTCAAGAAAGAAAGAACAGTCAGACATGTTAGTAAGTTTTCAATCTTCAGAAGCCTAGAAGAGCTTTCAGATTTCAAGACAGCAGCACCTACTTATAAGAAACCTCACAATATTCCATCATTTTTAATACTAAATTCTCACTTATTTCAAAATTTTTATCTAAGGATATAATATTGAGTTTAGAACTATCACGCTACCTGAAATAGAAATAAATGATACGTTCTTTAAAATGTTAGTCAATAAATTCTAAAAAGATCAGAAATGTTTACAATTCAAAGACAATAATCAGAGTGATTATAATAAGCACAGAGGATCAAAATTCAGATGTTTTTGAAAGACAACAGAAAATTGGGTATCTGTAAAATACATGGAAAACAGCCTTACAAATTAAAATGAGAGAAATAGATGCTCAAATTCATGGAAATAAGAGACACAACCTTTCTATTTTCACTTTGGGGAGTCCTGAGCTATTAAATGCTTTGCTCTGCCAAATACCCTTCCTATACTCAAATTTTGGAACTTAGTTTTCTTCCATACTTTTTCCAGTCCCCCATCCCAGCATCTTCCACCTTACCCACCTCCCTTCTCCCCAACTCCACCAGTCCTTCTCTAAATTCTGAACATTGTCCTTTGAATCCAGCTGGAGATCTATAATGAAAACTCTTTGCTGATCATAAGCTAATTTTCTCATGCTCACTGACTGCCTGCACCCCATTTTTTGACACAGTACTAGAGAATGGTGCCTCATATGGCGAAAAAAATCTACTCACTTTGAGCTAGAAGCAATAAAGGCAGACTTCTTGAGAAGCAATTTCTAGACCAGCTTTCAGGACAATGGCTACTACTCACCCACTTCCAACACTTCCTATATGATCTACAACCTGCATTGCTACCAAGGAATTATTAGAACTTCCCTGTTTTCCTTCATTTATGGTCTTTTAGAGACCGTCAGATCTTTCAAATTGTTTTTCAGCTACCTGAAGCATGGCTGAGAAAAAAAACCTACTTGGCATAATTACAAGAAGATACATGATTTGACAACTTTCCATTCTTCCCTCACTATTTTTTCCACAAACCATACACAAAAGTAGCAACCTGAGTTTAAACCTATATTCAAAATACCAGATGCAAAATACACAGTCAGTAAAATATTCAAATCCCTTATATTTACCCTAAGCTCTCCATTCTATGAATTACTTGTAAACTAAAAAAGCTATGTGGAATTCACTGAAAGGCAACTATACTAGTGATCTAGTTTCCCTCTCTTACCCTAAAAGCATCACTGTGAATTTGGGCAAAGTGTCATGTATGTGCTTGCAAATTTTATCTTTCCTGGTCAAGTTCTGACTATAAGGTTCTTCTTGAAGGAGAAGGGTTGCCTCTTTTTATGAAATTCTACTGGACTTAATACATTTCACCCCTGATCTTGAAAATCCTCATTTGGTCGGAATTAGAAGGAATCAATCCCCCAAACAATCTGCACTCAAAATAGGTAAATTGATGCACTACTATAGGATTTGTGATCTGAGTACAAGAATGAATCTCTATAGTTAAAGCAAAGACTAGCATTTGATTATGAAAAGGGAGGGGGGAAAAAGAAGTCTCATCAATATTGGTTTGTTTATATTTTACCCATACTGTTAAAATATAAGCAAAATTTAATCTTTAAATGAAAAAATAGACACATTTTCTAATAGCAAAATATACGATTAAGATACTTAAAAAATAAAATGTTAGTGAGAGGGTGCTTTGTTTACATTAAAGAATGAACCATTTTAGTTTTCCTTTTTCTTTTATAAAATTCTCTCATCTTGTTATTAGTTACAACTTTCTAGAGTGGCTTCATGAGACACCGAAGGAGACAGAAAAGAAATTCGTTTTTGAAAGAAGTCAGGACATGAATGGCTACTTTGGACAGAGTCCTTCCAACCAACCTCAAATCTACCCACCAGCCCGAGAGAGAGGAACGCTGTTCTTTCCATTTTAAGATTTTTTTTTTCAAGACATTTTCCTATTCTTAGGTGTTAAATTCTTTCCAAGAATATTCTACTTGTAAAAATGATTTTACTCCAGCTATAAAACATTTCATTTAAGAAAACCACATTTTACAGCCTAGTTTGGAAGGCCCCCAAAAGCCATCAAGACGTGGAGACATCAGATTTTCAAACCATAAATCTGATCGTATGCCCTGGAAATAGTACGAACATCTTAACAGAGTGCTGTTATACGTTATACATTTATCATGAGATGGGAGGCCAGGAGGCAGTTGGCGATCAATAATCATTCCTGAGCTTCTAAAGAAATTTAACAACAAAACAACTAACTGCTTAAAAGAATGAGTTCTTCAAGAGCACCCTTCGGTTCCGCGGAACTCTTTCATGCTTTCTCTCTCCTCCAAGAATCTCATGCTGGAAGAAAAGCCTTCCTTTTAAGCCACTGAAAAATGTGATCTGATGGAATCTTCCCGTAACTCTCGATGTTTTCCAATGTTACTTTCTTCATGCTGGTTTCGTCTCTCAATGGTTATTCTGTATTTCTTCCTGGGTAAAGGGAAAGTGAACGTAGGAATGAAGTTCAGCTTCAAAATACTATGGTTTCTCTTACAAAGAATGCCCTTGAGGGACGTCTGGCTTGCAGTTGATAAATGAGATGTGACAGAATATGAAGCCCTGGTCAGAGATTAAAGTGGTGTGCCCCAAGGCACGATGCCCTTATTCAGGGAGCAAAATTGGCCTGCTTTCTGAAATGCCATAGAACAAGCCTTCCCCTTCTTCCCTGGGTGCCTCGTGGGTTAACTCTTGTCTTTTGGGCCACAGAAACCTCCCCACCTCCCAGGATATGCCCTAGATAAAGATCAGATTAAGTGACTAAAGGAACAGGAATACAGTTGTTCCCACAGTCTCAAACACCCTGCTTTATAATTCCATGCACAAATGCAGCAGTCTTGGTCTAATGATGTAAGAATAAGCCATAAGCACAACCACCAAAAATAACAAAAGGATGGACCTCCCTCATGGTGAAAACCTCATAATATCTTGAACACACAAAATCATTGCAGCTTTACATGCATGGGACTTGGTAAGCAGTAATCAGACAATGTTCGTTCTCCAAATACAGAGTCTAGAACAGCCCGAGAGCCTGGAATATTCTGAGATACCCCCTCCTCTTCTGAAGGTGAGTCTGGGTCACACCCAGCAGTGCTCAGGGCTGACTATGGCTCTGCACTCAGGGATCACTCCTGGCAGTGTTCAGGGGACCATATGGGATGTCAAGGATCAAACCCAGGTTGATTGTGTACAATGCAAGCATCCTACCCACTGAACTCACTCTAGTCCCACAAGCATCTATTTCAGAAAGTGGAGAAAGTTTGGGAATGAGGAATTGATATTCCACTCTATGTAGACTCCCTGCCTACTGATTCTTTTGGTGGGTACTGAATAGGAATCTGAATATTTGTGATCAAAGGACAATAATGAGTCTGTGGCCTACAAGAGGAGAGCAATAAAAGCTCTGACCCAGTCCCTGGATGCTGACTCAGGGACTGTCAATCAAGCCAGGGACTCACTGACCCCAAGAGAATGTCTTGGTTCTCTTAGCCCCCCATGCTTTTGTGAGTAAGTGAAAGCTGTGGACAAGTCATGAACCATGCAAAGGGAAGTCACAAAGAGGATCAAAGAGAATGGGCTTTCAAGCTTTTACACTTTAAACAGTCCAACCTGAAAAAGTAGAAGGCCATTAGCAAACCAGCTCCCAGCAAAGCTCCCACGACAATTCCAGTCACTGCGGATTCTTCTAGGCCACCTGCTTGAGGAAGAAACAGAGATCATCAGAGTCCATTTCAGAAAATCGGAGTTCCTGGCATTTCATTCACCGGAAGGTGTTTCTCAGTTTCCTATCTTTTAATGGATGATTTTTCTAGAAGATCCCACGTTTTATTTTTCTTTTTACCAAGTACAGCCCTAAAGACAGCAGACAGCATCTAAGGACATGCTGAAACTATATGCACAAGTGTGTGGGCACCATGGACAGGTTCTCTTCTTTCCTGGGTGCCTCGCAGGTTAACTCTTGTCTCTTGGACCACAGAAACCTCCCCAACTCCCAGGAAGATCTGAAGAAAACCTGAAGCTGGCATTTTCACAGAGTCACACTCTCTGATGATCCTTGTCAGAGACATACTAGATGGACTGACCATGCATGGAGTTAACCCCATCCTGAGGTTCACAGGTGGATAGTGACCCTTCAAATTGCTGAAAGAGTCAGTGAGAAATTCCTTGGGCTAACAGTTCAGTTCTTAGATGTTCTCTCACGAAAGCCAGGGTTTCATGCCCAAATGCTTGTGAAAATTTGAATAACAATTTGAAACAAGTTCAGGAGTGTCCAGTTATTAACTAAAAGTGATAATTAGCTAGTTGTGTATACAGCATCATGGAAAGCTTTTAATTCTCACAAAAGCCCTAAATACTGGGCACTTTCCCTACATTGCACATACGAGCAGACTGAGGCTTGAGTGGATGAAAGGACACCCGCAGAGGCACATCAGCCCCTGATCAGGATAGAATATCAAAGTAATGATATTCAAAGACCGGTAATGGCAGAAAAGGTGCTGCTCCCTTCCTCAATTATCCTTTCCCTAATTATCGCCAATAGGTTATTGTCTAGAGTTGGAAGGCTGCTCCCCAAACCTAATGTGCAGATGTCAGCCTGCTGAGGGTTCCCCCACAGCTTAGAAAAGAGTCTCTCTAAAGCAGGCATCTCCATCATTTTTTTCTGGATGTAAGGACCTTATGAGCCAGTCTACTTGCTTCTATATTTATGACAAAGACACTCAAAAGATTATATTCTTATTTGTGGAGGTCAATTTGGCAGAGTGGGGTGAAGGTGGGGGAAAACCAATGGTGCACAGGGCTTACTCCTGGCCCTGATATTAGGGATTACTCCGGGTGAAATTCAGGAAACCCTATGGGATGCTGGGGATCGAATCTGGGTAGCTGCATGCAAGGTAAGCAACCTACTCACTGTATATTGCTCCTGGCCCCAATGTTGGTTAATTTTTAGGTGTTGAAGGAACATATCTGTTTGGGTCTAAGGGACAGAAAGACAACTGCTTTGAATAATCAAATTAAGACTCATTGGGAGAAGTGACTAAGAGATTTTTAATCTTTTATTATCCCTAAAAGTAGACACCTCAAAAACACTATAAGATTATGGTAAGAAATATAAAAACAGATTCCTTCTACCTCTTGAGATAAGGCAGAAAGACATAGAGACCTCCGCTGGTGAATTGACCTGTTCCCTGGGGTTCTACCACATCAGCCAAGAAATCTGAACTTTCCAAACCAAAGCTTCAGAATAATGCCAGTCTTTTAAATGTGCCAAACTAGAGGTGATCAAACATGGCAGAAAATTAAGTCTCTAAACTTACATGATTTGCAAGGAGAGCTGTTTGTGTGCTCTGCAATTCTGGTCTCATCTATTCTCAGTTTTAAAGGTCCCCATGGATATTTGACATTCGGCCGCATTTCAAACCGACCTTCTTTTCCAAAGTAATCACCAATAACCTATGTAAAAAGCAAAAACAAAAGCAAACAATATACCAACAGAAACTCAAAGTTTTCTGTGCCAAAGGAGTCATTGGTGAGCCCTCATCACTCACAGTATTGGGCTGTGTTTCTGCTGTCTTTGTAGCCAAGATTTGGAGTGGCCAAATCTTAAGGTAGGCATAACTTAGGGAGAAGTACAGCTTCCCAAGGCAGAGAATATGGTTTAAACAGACACAAGTAGAAGGAGATGGGAGGTAGTAAAGGGAATATGGGGGTGGGCAAGCAGATCAAGAGAGGGCTACCTTCCCTGAAATCTGGGCCTTACCTGCATAGACCCTCAATAATCTGCAGAAGCAGAAAGGAAAGCTATTCCCTGCAAAAATGATCACGGAGTAATGAACTCTCCCTGGCTGTGGAGAGCGTGATACTTCATTCCTTGGCCACAGAGTAGAGCATGTGGTCAGCCACTTGAAGGTGCAAGGTATTCTCAGGGATGTGTGAAGAAGGCAGGGGTCCTTTCAAAATCGAGGGTGCAAGGGCCATAGGCACACAGCTTCAAACCACACACTTAGCTGTGCAAGTCATAAAAGCATTGAAGAGAACTATTCTAGAACCAGGAAACTGTCCATCAGAGGGATCTGGGCCTGGGATCAGTCCCCAAACCACATGGCCTTCTGAGCACTGCCAGGGGTGGCCCTGGAGGCCTCCAGCATGACAGGGGTTGCCCAGGTAATCCCCAGCACCACAGGGTCCAAGCCTGGGAAACGTCATGTCAGAGTATCAAGGATTCTAGATCATTGTCCAGACAGAACCATCTTGGGTTTAGACGGAACACTTAGCCCATATACATTTGCTTCTGTATGCTCTCAGCAGCTGGGAAGGAGCCACCCTCTCCTGGCAGAGGAGTGATAGACCCACGTCATTCCAAGATACTTCTCTCCTCCTCACCCTCAGGTAGAGGAGGGCTCCCAAGTGATTTCCATGAGCCCCTCTGGCAATTCTGGATGAACCAGCCCATCCATTCAATGCAAGGGGCTGAGGATGTGATGTTGCTCAGGTCCTGCAGTGCTGAGCATACCTGGTCAGTACTGGGGGCCTCTAGGGCTGTACCCCACTCTGGCCAGCAGACCAGGGAGTGCCAGGAATCAAACCCAGGTCAGTCCCATGCTAGACATGTGCCCTACTCATTGTATACCCTCCTAGCCCTTAATATTTTTTTGTGTGTGTTGGGGGGGGGGGTGCTCAGGGTTTATTCCTGGCTCTGCACTTGGAGATCACTCCTGACGGGCTCAGGGGACCATATGGGGTGCCAGAGATTAAACTCAAGTTTGCCATGAGCCCAGCAAGTGCCATGCCCAGAGTATTATCTTTCCAGCCCCTAAAAAGTCATTCTTAACATATCAAGGAGCCCCATAAAAGCCAAGCCTATGTACGGCAGAAGGAAGACCAATCCGTAATGGCAAGTCAGAGTGAATGGAAGCCACAATTCAGGGGGACAATCAGTGAGGAAGAAACAGCACGATTCAAGCAAACACTAACTGTTATTGGTACAGTCTTTGCTTGTATATTTATTATTTCAAGTTGACTTGAACTTGAATGCATTTTTCCAGTGCTCGCAATAATCTGATGAGTCAGCGAGAAAGGGAGACTTAGTGATTTCAAAGTCACAATCAAGGACACTGAGGCTGAGATCTTGTACCCCAGGGTCAGAAACTCGTCCTTGGAACCAGAGCACATTTTTCTCTTCACCAGGTTCCCCTGAACCCCATCATGTGGTGAAATCCTAACACACGGTCCAGGTGGCATACCCAGTGCCACTACAAACCCAGTGCCACTCCCAACTCCCTACAAACTTGCCAATTTTCAGAGCGAATCAACACACACTTTCCCTTTCCCTCTCGCATCCTTAGGGCCTCCCCAACTAAAACAGCCTTTCCCCACTAAGGACAAACACAGACCACAATTAACATCTTCCAGAGTCCCCTCTACCGGAAATGAGCCCCCAACCTGGCAACAGCCAGGATTTCAGGCCATTTTCCTTGGGAGGCTGATTTGGGGACAGTCTGTTGGTCTCTGGGACCGAGTCATTCCTTGAAATATCAGCTAGGAGTAGGGACACCGTGAGTAGGGGTTTTGACGGCTCACCTCCTGGGTGCCAGCTTCTGTGTCAGTCATGGCGATCACCGAGAAATCCCCGTAGCGATCTCCATTAGCGTCTATGGAGACCTGTCCAGCAATCCCTAGAGGGGGAGAGGTGGAAGGCTCCAAGTCAGTTATGATCCTTCTCGCCGCCAACAAAAACAAGAAAATGAATCGACAGGATTTTTTTTTTAAACAAACTCATGCCACAGGGAATCTCATCTGACTAGGAGCATTTTTGTTGGCCTTTGGAGAGACATTGTAATTTCATCTGTGTCTGCATTCCTAAATTCTTAACATTTCTCCATTTAAAATGAAAAGAAAGAGAAATAAATGACCTTCTTTGGGGACGATGTTTTAAAAATAAATAAATAAAGGCTCATGCTGCAAGCAACATACTTAGGCCAGAGTTGTATGTTAATTTTTAAAAAATGCTGCAAGAGTGGGAAGAGATGGCCTGGTACATTTCTAGGACCAGCATGGAATCAGGACTTCTTGAGATGCTTTGCTGCTGGTTCCTTTGAATTGCAGACAAGGGCCCTGATTCACAGATCACAGGAATTCAGTACTAAACAGATGAGCTCGCCTTTGACCTTTGTCTATTCACCCTCTGTACATCTTTTGTGCATTCACCCACTGTCCATCCAAGTGTTTTAGGGGCATTTTCTAGGTGAAGTCAATTTTGTTCTGCAGCTGCAATAAATTGGCATCAGATTGCAAAGGCTTACCCTTGAATCCCAGCCATCACCCGTATTACTAGCTCTGTAAGCTGGGATAAGGTCTCAGAGACTCAGTCTTCCAGACTGTAAAAGAGGCATTCAAATCCCTCCATGTCAAATGTATTCCCACTATCTGCTGAGACCAATAAATGAAACAGACAGGTAAAGTACTTTCAGAATTGGCTTAAATGAAGTTAGTTGTTTCTGTCTTGAGTGACTATGGTGGTCACAAAGCCCAGAATCTGAAAGAGAACATCTTTTTTTTTTTTTCTTTAACTATTTTATTGAATCACTGTGAGATAGATGATTGCAAAGCTATTCATGATTGGATTTCACTCATACAGTTTTCCAACACCCAACTCCAGCAGTGTACATTTCCCAGCGCCAGTGTCCCCAGGTTTCCTTCCCTCCCATCACCCCCACCCCCCACCCTTTGCCTGCCTCTCTATGGCAAACACTTTCTCTCTCTCTCTCTCTCTCTCTCTCTCTCTCTCTCTCTCTCTGAGAAGAGGACATCTTTCCATGCCTGCCTGGCTTGGAGGAAAAGGCATATTCGATTGGAGACTCGGGGAGCACTTGATTGAGGAGCAGCTCTTTTTAGGGATGCCAGAGGAGTCTTTAATTTGCACAAATAGCCATCATGGATTGGGTGTGTTTAGGTTGGCCCTGTGGGTATTTTTCCAAGGCACAGGAACCAAAAGGAACTAGAGGACCAGAAAATTTCTGGGGAGTTGTCAGGTTAGAGCACAGCCTGGAGAAACCTCGTGGATTTGCATCTGCTGTGGCTAGCAATGGTGGTTAAGAGCCGTTCGTCAGTGACTGTGAGTGCTTATTAAACGGGTCTATACGGGCATGTTCATTAACTAATTAAGAGAATGCCTGTGTCAGTCACCCTCTAGGGAACTCATTTGTTTTCTTTTGAACAGTGTTAGGCTTTGTCATTCATAACTGGAGTTTCCATTGACTTGGTTCTCTCAAAAGTAAAATGAAAGTCTGGGGAAAAGCATCCCGAGGAAAAGTTCCATCCTTTAGTGTGGTTCGGAGGGAGTGGATATTTGGGTTTATTGTCCTCTGGGTTGTGATTTGAAAGCTCCTTTGATTTTTCCAGACTCTGGTCTACTTTGCCAGAAACAGAACGAAGCTAACCATGAATCCTGATTTTTTTTGGGGGGGGGGTCTTCTTAATATAGCCTAGTTACGAAGGGCACACCTATCTCAGCCATGTTTATCTCTGACAGCCTATAAAACATTTAGGTGATAAATGTTTTTTAAAAATACATTTATCTCCAAACATATTGGCCATCCAAAACCACGCGTCACTCCATCCGAGGTGTCTGTGACAGTGTGTCCTGCTGAGAGTATTTCATAAGACAAGGTGGCCCTAGTATTTCAAGACCTCATTACACTTGAAGTTATTACAATTCTGCCAAGAAATGGGGTGCGAACCCTCAGGGTGGCCGATTAGCAAGTGAGACTTCACCTAAGAGTATTGTATAGAAGGTGAGATTGTCAGGTTGGCAGCAGAATTTTCCTGTACATAAGGAATCAGTCTTTCCACCCCCGTTTCTATTGGCCTGTAGTGAAGCTCAAGGTTTGAGCCACAGTCCTATTTACCTTGTCACTCAGATCTCTCACACAGAGAAGAAATTCAACTTCTTTCCAGGCCATTTCTTCAAAGTCTTGGGAGCTGGACATAGGTTTCATAGTAATAAAATCCAAATTTTATTACCAGAATTTGGATTTTGGTACAAAATACAGCCAGAGTAGTTACCTGGTGACAACATAATGGTCACTTACAGTGACCGTTAAAATTAAAATGGTTTTTAATTTCAGCAAAGCTGTGTCTTTGCTTTGTACAGACACCTTAAAATTCAGGGAGCCACTCTAAGGTTGATCACTGTTTAAGCCAATAAAATATGCTCTTTCAACAATTTAAGCTCAAAATTTTTCTTGGTTTCCACTCCCTTTGCATTTGGGGAAATGAGATTCTAAGTTTGGACTGAGCAACTGATTTTTTTTTGACTTATTTTCTTATTACCTGTGTAGATCTGTTCACAGAACTGAAGCATCAAGATAACCTAAAGGAAAATTTAGGCCGTACCATGGCACCAAACAAAACCAAATTCTGGCCATTGTGGGTGCTTACCCAGTCCTTACACAACCCTTCTCCGAAAGATCAAGAACAAATGACCACACCAGGCAGTGAGAAATAGCTAAGAATGGGATGTGGCCTACTACCAAGGGTGTGTCCACACATGCTGGTTGCTCAAGGTACTGGGCACAACTTCTGGGAAACTGACTCTGTCCTAATGTATCCCCTGATTATCCTATTAAATTCCAGCTTCTACCTGGGGTAGTCAATGGTTAAGCAATACACCCTGGAGACTTTATTGTTCATGTCTTAAGGGGTACTGAAAGTTAATTCAGCTGTCACTCTAAGTTGTACTACAATGTGCTATTCACTTTAATCACCAGGAATAAATGAAAACCACCCATGGACACCAAGGTAGCTTCTCAGACAACCCAATCTGAGTCTTAGTGAACCTTATGGACTGCCCTATCCTTTCCAATCACAAGGTGCAGGACAAGACAGTGCAATGGACAGGAATCCCAACTGAAAAAAAAAAGTGCCCCAAATCTATTCTGGAGGGCTTTTTCCATATCACTTTTTATAATGTCTTTAGATTACAAATAAATATAGTCATTTCCTGAAGTTTGTTGAAGGACTCAAGATAAAATGGATGCTGTTGAACAGCAAAGACCCTTGGAAGTCATCAATTCATCCAAGCCCCAAACTATTGGTGATGAAAAAGTAAGTCCAATAGGCTGAGGTTACTAGTCAGTCAGAGGTTAGGATGCAGGTTTCCTGACCTCAGTCTAATGACTGTACTCGATGTCAAGGGTTCTCAAGTAATGTTCCTCCTTATTCTACTATTCACCTTCCACGTGTGCCACAGATGAACTCCCCTTAAAGACTCTAGACAGTCTGTGACCCACAAAACCCTCTGGTATCTCTTTTCTCCCTCAGGGTAAGACCCAGATTCTTTAGCATAGCTCTCAGACCCACATGATATGTACCCCACAATCTCTCTCTAGTTCACCCACTACCATGTAAGTTCAGTTGTTGCAAGAAATGTCTTTATTCCACTAAAGTACCACCAGCACCTATAGGTGTTATTTGAATATTTGATGAATGAATCAGTGAATGAACAAGTATCAAGTTGATATCTGTGAGGCTTCAGAAGCTGGATAATCCCAATATTGAATCTCATGTTGTTCTGCTTTGGATTTTAGTGAGATGAAAGGAAACAAGAACTCAAGCATTACTGTCAAGATTAGAGATTGTCATGTCTTTCTAAAATCTATCTGTCAATGTCTAATAGATTTTTTCTTTTTCTCTCAATTTCTTTCTGTGCTAGGGAGTGATCAAAATAATACATGTAATGTAATGGAATTTAAAATGTCCCAACACACTATGGGTTCAGAAATCCATAATTACAAAAGTTCCCTATTGGACAGACTCAAAACAATTCTTTAAGACATGTAAGATGTTGATGTATAGCATTCCTAATAATAGCAAAAACTGTAAATAAGTGCAATATCCATAGGAGATCGGTGAGAGAAATCCTTCCACAGATATAGGTGAAAAAATATGAAACTTTCACTTTTAAATGTGCTGATTCTCTGAGAGTTCATATAGAAAATTCCTTCCCTTGATATTTAAGTTACAAAGTTAAGATGAAGAATGGCATTCAGAGTATGAGTTGTTTCATCTAAATGTTTTAGATAAGATATACAAACGCATATGTGCTAGCAGAAGGCACAAAATATTTTCAGGCAGAATCATAGGAAATTGTTAATAGTGATTACATTTGGGAAGAGGGGAGAAGGGAGGGAAGGAAAACTTTCACTTTTCATTTCATACATTTTTATACTGCTGTAATTTTCTAGCCAAGAACAGTATCATTCTTATATAATTTTTGAATGTCAACAGAGGTTGCTTGACTGTTGCAATTATGGGCTGTACTTTTGTTGCTGTTCTTCTACCTTTCTGTTCTTAAGAAAACAGCAGCTAGTGTTTATTTTAAAGCAATATTAAAGGAGAAAGCTCGACTATTTTCTCTCAACTCTGTCTCAAACCACCCAGGTTTAAGAAGGGGATTATTTCTTTTAAAATTGAACACAACTGGGTGCTGAAAGAAGGTCAAGTGATATACATGAGACCCTCTCAGTAATAGTATTGCAAACCACATGCTCAGTAGAGAAAGAAAAGAAAAAAAGCATCTGCCATAGAGGTAGGCTGGGGGCAGGAAGGAAACTAGGAACATTGGTGGAGGGAAAAGGACACAGGTAAAGGAATTGCTTTTGGAACATTGTATACACCTGAAACTGAATTGTGAATAACTATAATTCACAGTGAGTCAATAAACATTTTTTAAAAGCGCTTCCACAATGACCTCTCAGTTACTGTAAACCATAATGCTGAAAGGGAAAGAGATAAAAAGAAGAAAAGTGGCTACCATACAGTTGGGTCAGGAGTGGGGGCTCAGAGGAGGGACGGCGGTAGGTACACTGGTGGTGGGAAATGAACTCAGGTGGAGGGATGGGCGTTGGAACATTGTATGACTGAAATCCAATCATGAACAACTTCGTAATAGTTTATCTCATGGTGATTCAATACATTTTTTAAAGATAGTGTTTAAAAGGGCTGGAGCAATAGCACATCGGTAGGGCGTTTGCCTTGCACACGGCCGGCCTGGCCGAGCCCGGTTTGATTCCTCCTCCCCCTCTTGGAGAGCCCGGCAATTTATTTTTTTTCTTTTTTTTTATTAAAGAGTTTTTAATAGTGAGACATCATGAGGTACAGTTGCAGACTTACACATTTTTGTGCTTGGGTTTCAATTATATAATGATCAAATACCCATCCCTCCACCAGTGCCCATTTCCCACCACCACGGATCCCGGTATCCCTCCCACCCTCCATCCCCCCCATCCCACCCTGTCTCTGTGGCAGGGCGTTCCCCTCTGTTCTCTCTCTCCTTTTGGGTGTTGTGGTTTGCAAAAGAGGAATTGAGTGGCAATTGTGTTTGGTCTATAGTCTGCTTTCAGCATGCTTCTCCCATCCTGGGAGGATACTCCCAACACCTTTATTTGATGTTCTCCTCTGTATCTGAGTTCCGTTTTCCCCTAATATGTGTGGTTGGCCTCCAGGTCATGGAGTAAAATTCCTAGTACTAATCTCAGCCATTCTTGGGTGTTAGTTTCCTATTTTGTTACTTTATGTTCCCCAGATAAATGCAATATTTCTATGTCTATCCCTTTCTTTCTGAGTCATTTCGCTTAACATGATACTTTCCATGTATGTATGTAAATTTCATGACTTCGTCTTTTCTAACAGCTACATAGTACTCCATTGTGTAAATGTACCAGAGTTTCTTTAACCAGTCATCTGTTCTCGGGCACTCAGGTTTTTTCCAGATTCTGGCTGTTATAAAGAGTGCTGCAATAAACAGACAATTGCAGATGCACTTCGACTATACTTTCTTGCCTCTCTGGGATATATTCCCAGGAATGAGCCCGGCAATTTATAGAGTATCCTGGCCGCATGTCAGAGCTTGGCAAGCTCCCCATGGCGTATTCAATATGCCAAACACAGTAACAACAAGTCTCACAATGGAGATGTTACTGGGCCCGCTCAAGCAACTCGATGAACAACGGGAGGACAGACAGTGCTACAGTGTTTAAAATAAATAAATAAATAAATAAATAAATAAATAAATAAAACTGACCACAGTACTCTTAACTATCTATTGTGAATAAAGCTTGCAAAAGATTTAAGAACCATAGTTATTTACTAAGCAGAAAGAGACCAGAGGCTTTCTATTTCAGAGGAATAGTTTCATATGTACTTTTAATTTAATCTCACATAATTTTTATAAACCTATAGCACAGATTGATTCTCACTTACTTCCTTACCATAAATATGAGAAATGCTCAAGTTGCCCCAGTTCTGAGCCCTTACCTTCAAATGTTCTGTTCCAAGTATGCTGGATAATTTTCCCTCCATCCTTCTTGCTGTAGCCAGCTCTCAGTACTTCATGTAAAGCCAGGACATAGAGGAGGATGGCATCATGGAATCCTTCAACAAACATGTTAACCTGGAAAGGAAACCCCAGTGTGTGAGCTCAAACACCAAAGGACTCACAAGCAAGAAGCAAGCAAACAAAACAAAACGGTGAAAAGTGATTTGAGCTCTGTCCACAATGACAGAGAGTGACAGAAAGCAGCTAATAAGAATCAAGTGTCACGACTCTCCTGGCACAGACTAAGTGAGGAACCCTCCTCCCCCCATTTGGGAATTCTGGAAGCTGGCACAATATGGCAGAACTCAAGCAAACTGTCGACTATGTGAGGAAATTGGAGGTGTCATAAGAAGCAAAATAAGCCAGAGAGAGAAAGACAAATACCAGATTATCTGACTCATCTTTGGAATAGAGAAAAAAATACAGGGAACAGACAGTATCAAACAATGGAAACATCAAACCAACCCTTGACCTTATGTTACAGAACCAATTTCCAAGCAACAGAGAGGAAAGTTGAGGGGAAATTAATATCAGACTAGAAGTAACACAGGAATAGTGGTGGAGGGGCTTGGGCATTTGGTGGTGGGGGTGAGGAGTAATAACACTGTACAGCAATAACTTTTGTACATTATAACCATGTATCTAAATTATTATAATTATTATAAGAAAATAAAATGCAAAATTAAACAAGAAACCTAGTATATTAACCTTTGCTGGGGATGCATGCAGCTCTTCCCCAGCTTTGCTCTCTCTACCTGAAGGTAACTCAAGTCCAACCTCCCCAGGGGAGATGGTCTTCTCCATCTTCCAAAATACCCTTGATTCACTCTGCTCAATCTCTGAATGTGGACAGTAACTACAAGTAGTCTCCATGATTCATATCCAAATACTGCTGTACACCTACCAGAGGACTGATGCTAAGATCAGAGAAATGCCTGACTGTCAGGAATTCGTGTCTCCTAACAGTAATTTCTCCTTTTCTCTTTCTAATCATGTGGAGTAGTTACTGTACATTTAACCACTTCCTACCATTGGAAGAGAAACAGATCTGGATGAACGGTTTATCCCAATCAGTCCTGGCTCAAGTAACACAGCTCCAGTTTTCAAGAAACTTCCATGTAAATATATAAACTTCACTTAATCTCTGAGAGCCTTATTTCTAACATCACACTGAAACCCATCTTTTTTTGCGACATCTTTTTATTTCATTCTTACTTTGGACAAACTGGCAGGCTACCGAATGTAATCTGCCCACACGGCAGAGTCTGGCAAACTCCCCGGGGCATACCCAATATGCCAAATACCAGTAACAATGATGGGTCTCATTCTCCTAACCCTGAAAGAGCCTTGAATATGGCACTTTTTTAAAAAATCTCAGGGCTAGGACGAAGGAGACGTTACTGGGGCCTGCTCAAGACAATCGACGAACAACAGGATGGTCGTGATCGTGACTGAAACCCATCCTAGATATCACTGCACTGTGAAACTGGCATATGGAAACACTCAGTAACTGACACATTGTGTAAAAGTACAAAAACTAAATCAGAACCTTCTTATTTTCAAGAAGTGGTCAGAGTGGATAATAAAATAGAATGAATTGGGTGTCCCATGGACGACCCCCATGAAGCTCTGTGAGGGGCACGCCCATCCCCATCCTGGAAAAAGGAACCAGTGGCAACCCCCAGGACCACAACAAACCTGCCTCACCTGATTCAAACCCACAAACATTCCCAGAAGACCCTGCTCAGCCAGCTCTGCTTGATGTCATCCCACCCAAAGAATCCTGAGTCTTGTTTGCATCATGGAAGCAGATTTCAGATTGTTCAAAGCCCAATGTTGAGAAGCAGTTTGGAAAAATGGTTCAAAGATCCTGAGCCCCCTCCCAGCTCTTCAAGTTCCTAACTTCACTACGACACACTTCGGAGTCACTGTTTCCCTCTTCTAGAAAATATTATTCACTGCCTCAGGAGATTGTGCTATGTTTAAAGGAACTAGGCACATGCCTTATCCACAGCACCACATTGAAGTTACTGTGGATAAGGCATATGGCTGACTAGGATTTGATCCCCAGCATCCCATAGGGTCCCTCGAGCCTACCAGGAGTGATCCCTGAGTTCAGAGCCAGCAGAAAGCCCTGAGCACTGCAGGGTATGGCCCAAAATATAAAGAAAAAAAAAAGAACTCCAGTAGTGCCCGACCACCAGCACTCACTGTTTCAAGTTACTGTTCAGAGTTAGAGAATTATAAATCTAGAAGTCCTACTTAGCTTCTAATTCCTATTCTAATTCTAATTAGAATCACCCATATAGTACATCTTACTGGCCCATCTTACTCTTGGTGGAAGTGAAGGCTCCTTGTTCATGCTGGAGCATGAACAAGCAGTCCTCAGACTGTTCCCAAATCATTCCCTGAGCTCATCCCAAGAGTGATGCATGAAACACAGTAGGCAACTGACTGTTCAGGAAAGGTGGAGGCAGAAAGAGGGCTGATCACAGGAGAGCTCGGAGAGAGCTTCTAGGTCAGAGTCTACTGCTCAGCTTAATGTGTCACCTCATCACCCTAATCTTCCCCTTCCTAGTTAGTTTTATGGGGACTTCAATCCTGACTCAATCTCTAGGGCCTTAATTCTAGGGATTTGGTTGCACACATATCAAACATCTCAAACAGTTCCTGGGACAGGGAAAGCAAGTAATAGACATTGGCTCTTACTCTTAACCATCAAGTCCAAGTCTCTGAGTGGTTATTTTGTTAGGCACAGAAGAATGGGGTAGAAATAACATCTACTAGTCAAAGGTAGTTTTCTGCGATTTGGCTATGCTAATTCAATTTCCCAAAGGAAGACAAAAGTTTCACTTAGACTATGAAGCCATCATGCCTTAATAATGTATGCATGTGGATGAATTTATGAGTTTCCATAGGCAGACTTCAGTGGTGTCATTTTATACGCAGGCCCAAATAAAAAGAATTCTTTTCAAAAATATCTCTTTAATGGCATTAAAACTACCTTCCAGATGAGGAAGTCACAGAATCAGGACTCATGGAAAATGGCAGTTGTCAGGTAGCTTTAAAAAGTAAGATAGAACAAGGGTTAAGGGGTGGTTCTTGCTCCAGGTGCAACTCACTTTAGTTCAGTCCCCAGCATCACATTATGATCTCTGAGTACCACCAGGAATGACTCCTGAGCACAGAGACAGGAGTAAGCTCTAAGCAATGTCAAGTGTAGCCCAAAACATAAATGCAGAAATTAACATACAAAAAATTCCAGTCTACACTTCTCCTTACTTTGAAGATCAAAAGAGCAGAGATTCCCCCTTGGTCTGGCACTTTGTGATAAGAGGCTGTTCCCTCTATGCTCCTTATGACTGGGAAGCCTAGAATGACAACCCATTAAACCCTGAAGTACCACTATTCAGTGCCTTTCCACCTCTCTTCTTCTTTCACTTTCCATGCCACGACCACTTAAAGTTTGGGACTTAGGTCCTGGCCACATTCTGACTGACACTTTCTCTTCTTTCCTCCTCAATATTTCCTCTCGGGGCTAGAGAGACAGTACAGCAGTTAAGGCACATGCCTTGCATGCAGTCGTCCCCATTCAATCCCCAATACCTCATGCCCCCCAACCCAGGCATTGAGAAGCACAGTCCCAGAGGCCCTCAGCACTGTCAGCATGCCTAGGTCATTCCCAGAACTGCAGAACCTGAGCAGCATCACGTCCATGGGCCGATGCATAGGTCTTCCAGACTGAATGACTGAGAACAACAGGAAGGTGCTCCCTGAGCATCACTCAAGGAAAACCCACCATGCAAAAATAAAATTTTCAAAATTCCTTTTACTCAGCACAGGAGGAACAACCATCTGACATGAGTTTTATTGTCTAGCAATGATCAGGCGTGATGAGGATTCTCAGGTGTGGACCAAGAGATAAGCTAACACCAGGGTTAAGCTGTGGGCTTTGCCCTGCTTGCAGTTGAGCCCCGTTCAGTGCCTGGCATCACATATGGTCATAAACTGGGATGACATTTTTCCCTGAGACTTTGATGGAGGAAGAGACAAAATAGGCTCCGAACATCTGCCCGGGTCTGGAAAGTTTGCAGAGGGATCTCATATAGTACCTTCTCACCTCTCACAGTGGCTGAGTGTCTCCCTTTACTGCCAAAATTAGCAGGCAAGCTGCTGACCTCCACCTACGTTCACTGGCACCCCAGCTTGCTGCGGGGGAGGTTTCAAAACACCTATCTCATAGGACCTCAGGTCAGAAGCAAAACCTAGAGACCGCCTTTTCTCGAGGAGAACATTCTCACTTCCACCTGTGTTTTTTAATGGGAGGAAAGCCCGTTAGCACATTATTAGACACTGATCATTAGAAGTGCAAAAAATGAGGAAGAAAAAGAACCCAAAGTATTAAGTAACCTTTGGAAGACTCCACTGGCCCCTGGGTTGACAGGAACAGGGGCACCTGCTCTGGCCTGGGCTCTGCCCAGAACACTTGCCCTTCAAAGTCTTCACTGATAGACTGGTGGCCAAAAGAGATCTCCCCCTAACCCCCCCCCCCCAGCCCTCTCACCCCCCTGAAGCCTTACACCTGAGCCACCTCTTCACTACTGATCATCACTAGCCAATAAAACTGTGTTCTCATCAGACAAGTCTTCACTAAAGACCTAAATCTGCCATTCCTGGTTAAATGCCAAACAATAAGGTAAGAAAACAGTGAGAGTCCAAGAGATGGCACAAAGGGCTGGCATTTGGGCTTTGAGTGCTAGATTCCTGGCACCAGATGGTCTCCCGAGCACTGCCAAAGGTGGGTCCTGAATACTAGGTTAGGAGTAGCCCCCAGCACCACTGGGCATACCCTCCTCTAACCCCCCCCCCAAAACATAGGAAAAGAATCTATAAGTGGATGGACATGGAGATTATCATGCTAAGTGAAATGAGTCAAAAAGAGAGGGACAGACATAGAAGGACTGCACTCATGTGTGGAATATAAAATAACACAATATAGACTGACACCCAAGGACAGTAGACACAAGGGCCAGGAATACTGCCCCATAGTTGGAAGCCTGTCTCATGAGCTGGGG